CCAGCATTTATTGTTTTCTACTGTTTTTATCTTTGCTGTTATTGCTGGTGTGAGATGTTATCTCATTATTGTTTTGATTTGCATCTCTCTAATAGTTAGTGATCATGAACATTTCTTCATCTGTTTGTTGACTGCCCGGATCTCCTCCTTGGTGAAGTATCTGTTCTTGTCCCATTTTTTTGATTGGGTAGTGTGTGCATTTTGACAGTGGATTATTCGCATCCATTCAGAAAGAGCCCCTTGACTAAGCTGGACAGCTGTGGCTGATACCACCGTCCTTCTCTCCCCAGGAAAGAACACTGAAGCCTGGGCTAAGGATCTGAAGCTGGAGGACTTTGAGTTGCTGTGTCCTGATGGTACCCGGAAGCCTGTGACCGAGGCTCAGAACTGCCACCTCTCCATGGCTCCAAGTCATGCTGTGGTATCTCGGAAAGATAAGGCAGCATATCTTCAACAGGTGCTGCTCCAGCAACAGGTATGGACCATGAAGGCCTCCAGATCTTTCTGAACTGCATGACTCCTGCCATGTGGAATATTCACAGAACTCAACGAACCAGCCCATCTCCAGTCTTTCTGTCTGCCCCCTTGTTTGAAGCTGAGGTGGTTAGCAGTCTAGTACTTACCCTATAGTGCCGTACCACTACTTGTTATCCATAAGAAATTCTAAGAGATTAGCTACAGACTAAGAAGGAAGGAAATGCCAGGAAGTGAGATCAGAAAGTGAAGAGCCTGAAGCTGCCCAATCAGAGAGGCAGGCCCAAAGTCTATCTGATCCTGGGGGTTTGGGCAGCAGGGGGATACCGGGCAGGTGAAGAGTCAGCCAAGGAAGTGAAAAGATCCAGAGTTCAGTTCCCTCTGCTCCCAGGGCTGGTGCTGAATGGAAGACAAGTCCTTAGCCTTTATTAATCCTCAGACTCTCCTGTTTCCCCAGCCACTCACTGCCCATCTGTCCCTTTGACATAGGCTCGCTTTGGAAGAAAAGGAAATGACTGCCCACGCAAGTTTTGCTTGTTCCAGTCTGAAACCAAAAATCTCCTATTCAACGACAACACTGAATGTCTGGCCAAACTTCAGGGCAAAACAACATATGAAAAATATTTAGGATCATCATATGTCACTGCTCTGACTCGTCTGAATAAATGCTCCTCCTCCCGTAAGTGGTTCATAGATAGCACCACTGGGAAACTGCTATGGGGAAGGCCAACATATGAGGGACGGACCGCATTCTAAGGTTGATGATGGATCTCAAAAATTCCAAGGCAAAGCCTCTTCACTCCAGGAAATCATGGTCTCTTTGACAAGGTGGAACAATTAAAGAATAAAATAAAGCAGTAGGCAACATGCTAATTATTAATAATGCTGATGGTGACTGTCATGGAGTTTTAAAAAACTGCTAATTCATTTTAGTCAGCAAATGAAATGGGTATGTGTACATGTGCACTGAGAAATGATGGATTCATTTCTGTAGACAGTTTCTGTAATAGCAGTAACAACCTGTAAAAAAACAGTTGTATTCAAGTCGATTTCTACTCACAGTGATGCCACGTGTGTCAGAGTAGAAGACAGAACTGGGCTCTACAGGGTTTTCAACACCTGATTCTTTGGAAATAGGAGTAGACTTGAAGCTGAAATCTTTGGATTAGCAGCTGAGTAGTCCACCGTTTTCACCACCCAGGAGCTCCTCCCCTACCAACCGTATTGTTGTTGCTTTTGCTAAGAGCTGTGGAGTCGGTTCCGACTCATAGTGACCCTGTATAGGGTTTCTGAGGAGCAGATGGTGAGTTTGTACCACCAACCCTGTGGTTCAAACTGACCTTGTGGTCCAGTGCTTATGCTCCAGCACCACACCAGGACCCCAGGCCAACTATTTGCTTTTGTTAAGTTGTTAAGTGCTATTGAGTTGATTCTAATTCATAGCCACCCTACACAGGGTTTCCGAGGAGGTCAACCATTTGTTGTTGCTAAGTGCCCTGGAATCAGTTCTGACTCATAGCGACCCTGTATAGGGTTTCCAAGGAATACCCAGTGGATTTGAACTGCTGATTTTGTGGTTTGCACTCAGTGCTGATCCTACTGTACCACACCAGGAGTCCATACAAATTTTCAAACAATTTGAAATAAAATTAAATCCTGAAAATGATTTAATCATTTACATATACTTAGAAGACATAGCAGTGCTGTAAGATCGAGGCAGAGTCCCTGGGTAGAACATTCAGTTAAATGTTTGGTTAATGTTATCTAGTTATCGCCTGCTGCTAGAACAGAAATACCACGAGTGTGTGGCTTTAACCAACAGAAGTTTATTTTTTCACAGTTTAGGAGGCTAATTCGGTATGCTGGCTCTAGAGGAAGGCTTTCTCTTTCTGTTGGTCCTTGTCTGTTTCAGCTTCTATTCCTTGGTTGCTTGGTGATCTTCATGTTGTATCTCTCTTCCCTTATCGCTGCTTCCTTAATCTGCTCCTTTTATATTTTCAAAGAGATTGATTCAGAACATACTCTACATGAGTCCTGTCTCATTAACATAACAAAAATCCCATTCCCAAATGAGATTATAACCATAGGCATAGGAGTTAGGATTTACAACACATTTCTGAGCGAATTCAACCCATATTATAAATCCACGGTGGTTCCGATGCACCAGAGGCACCGTGGAGGAAAGTCCTGGCAATCCTTGTGGAGTGCAGCTCTTTTCTGCACACACGGGTCACCCTGAGTAGGAGATGACTCAGTGGCAAATGGTTTGATTTTTCGGCTTAGACTCCAGACAGTGGTTCTCAAATTTCAGCACTGTGGTCAGCTGGACTTCTGGTCGGTCACTCAGTCAGAGTCTGAAGCAGTGTGGGGGGAGTAGGAGAGTCTGAGAATGGAGGTAGGGCCCGAAATCTATCAGTGGTTCTCCTTGGGGCAAAACTGGGAAACCATGAGTATGACAAGCATTGCCTATTGTAATGGGTGGGAGAAGGGAAAAGTCTCTGTTTTCATATTTATTGATGATTTAGTGATTCATTGATTTGCTATTGATTTTACTAATTGAAAAAAATCAGCTTCTATTCCGTTAGCAGCTGGAGTTTTTCATCTCCTGCTCTGTTGTGTCCACAGCACTCCTGGAAGCCTGCGCATTCCTCAGGGCCTGAAGCCCAGGCCGGTGACCAGCCTCTCCCAGAGAGCCTCTGCCCTTTCTACGCTCGGCTCAATCCTCGCTATGCTGGGGGCTTGTCCTCCCTTCCAGAGCATGGAGCTTGCCTGTCTCATCTGTTTCACGGCTCCCTGCTGTCATCATAGCAAGAAATAAAATAAGTAATGCTGTTGATTTTCTCTCCTTATAAAGTGTCATTCATCTTTTCTTGAATTTTATACTGTCAACTTGTTGGTGTTGTTAAGTACCGTTGAGTCGGTTCCAACCCATAGCGACCCTGTATACGGTTTCCAAGGAGCAGCTAGTGAGCTTGAACTGCTGACCTTGTGGTTCAAACAGACTTTGCTGTCCAGCGCATTAGCCCACAGCGCCACACCAGGACTGGCCAAATAGTCACACAGTTGACCAAGTTTGCTCTCTCTTGCAGCTTTGTGTTCGATGTCTGAAATCTAAGGACAGACCATGCAATTGTTTTCTCCTTGGGAACAGTCTTAGCCATGGGGGCTCAGGAAAAAAAAGTAATATATACGAAGGGGCTTCAAAAAGTTCACAGGTAAATGGAATTTAAAATATTGGAATTTTTTTCACAAATGTTTGAATCACCTTCATCTATGGAGTTCTGATATGGCACTATAGGACAAGCACTGGACTGTGAATTGACAGCGCCATTAAGTCAGTTCTGACTCATAGTGACCCTGTATAGGGTTTTCAAGGAGTGACTGGTGAGTTTGAACTGCCAACCTTTCGGTTCAAACTGACTTTGTGGTCCAATGCGTATCCTGTGCTACACTAGGACTCCATAAGCATATATATACATGTTGTTATATACATATGGAGTCCTGGTGTGATTCAAACTCATCAGCCACTCCTTGGAAACCCTGTATAGGGTTGCTATGAGTCAGAACCAACTTGATAGCACTTAACAATATATATCTATACACACACATATACACACATTGTTGCCATTAAGTGCCGTCGAGTTGGTTCCAACCACAGTGACCTTGTATAGGGGTTCCAAGTAGTATCTGGTGAGTTTGAACTGATATATATATATATACATATACATACACACACACACACACATACACATATACAGGGTCACTATGTGTTGGAACCCACTCGATGACACTTAATAACAACAATATACATATATAAAGAGAGATTTATTTCTAGGGACTTACTCATGCAGTTGTTGGGGCTGACAGGTCTGTAGGAGGCATGCTAGAGACGTCTGGTGGCTTGTGTCCCAAGTTCTGTAGGTCAGGCAATAGAAAGAGCACAGAGTGCAAGAGTGAGTTCCGCAAGAATATCTATTTTTTAGTGTGAAAACTGAAAACACCCTAAGGAAGCTCCCTTTTTCACAAAGCTGACATATAAAATTAACCATCACAAGGTTAACTTGATTGTGGTATGACTACCCTGTAATTGGCCCTGTGGATCAGCACTGGACTGCTAGCTGCAAGGTTGGTGGTTCAAACTCACCAGTTGCTTCTTGGAAACCCTACACACCCTTCGCGTCAGAACTGACTCAATGGCACTTAACAACAACAACAACAATATGGCTCACAGAAAGGCTCTTCCCCAGCTCTGATATACAGGGTCTCTGTGAGTGGGAACTGACTTGATGCCACTTAACAACAACATGGTAATGTACATAGTTGACATCAGTGTGCATGTGTGTTTGGATGTGTGTATGTGTGTTTCCAGGCAAGGGACGACGTTGGTAGAAAGTTGTTGTTGGGTGCCAACTCATAGCACATCAGAACACAAGACTGCCTGGTCCGGTCCTGCTCCGTCCTCATAATCACTGTTATGCCTGAGTCCAGTGCTGCTCTTACTGTGCCAATCCATCTCATTTTGGATTGGCAAAAGGGGGTCTTCCTCTTTTTCACCAACCGTCCATTTTATCAAGCATGTTAATGTGTCAGAAGTATGAGAGACAAAGTCTTCTAAGGAGCATTCTGGCTGTACTTCTTCCAACACAGACCTGTTTGTTCTTCTGGCAGCCCATGGTACCTTCATGGTACCATGTATTCTTCTCCAACACCATAACTCAAATGCATCAATTCTATGGTCTTCTTTATTCATTGTCCAACTTTCACGTGCATATGAAGCGATTGAAAATACCGTGGCTTGGGTCAGGCACACCTTAGTCCTCAAACTGATATGCTTACTCTTGAACACTTTAAAGAAAATGTTGTTGTTAAATGCTGTTTAATCAGTTCCTACTCCTGGTGACCCTGTACAGGGTTTCCAAGGAGTAGCTGGTGGGTTTGATCCACTGACTTTGCAGTTAGAAATTCAGTGCTTAACCTGCAGTGTCACACCAGGATTCCTTAAAGAGGACAAGAAGACTTAATATTGTGAAAATATCAATACTACTGAAAGCTATCTGTAGCTATACTTCAATCCTGATCCAGAGCCAATTCTTTAAAGAGATGGAAAAACTAATCACAAACTTTATATTGAAAAGAGAAGAGACCCCAGATAACCAAACCAGTAATGACAAAGAACAAAGTTGGAGGCCTCACACTTCCTAATTTTAGAACTTATTTATCAGTCACGACCATCAAAACAGTCTGGTATTGTTACAACAGTAGACACATAGACCAATGGAAAATAATTGAGGATCTGTTTACCTATGGACAGCTGATCTTTGATAAAGGGCTGAAATCCAACAAACAGGAAAGCAAAGTGAGAGTCCCTTTAACAAAGAGTGATGGCAAAACTGAATATCCATTTGCAGAAAAATGAAACAAAATCCATACCTTACACCATATACCAAAACTAACTCACCACTCGATGACACTTAACAACAACAACATGAATATTAAAAGACATTTCCAAAAGAGTAAAAAGAGAATCTACAGATTAGGTTAAAAAAAAAAAGAAAAAAAAAAAGGGACTACTTTGTAAAACTTATAGGAAACTTGAATACCTCAACAACAAAAAGGTAAACAATCCAATTAAAAACTGGGCAGAAGCCATGAACAGATACTTCACCAAAGAAGACATGCAGGTGACCAATAAACATAGGGAGAAACGCTTGTGTTCATTAGTCATTAGAGAAATATAAATAAAAACATTGAGATATCATCTCACTCTAGCAATAATTGTTGTTGTTAAGTGCCATCGAGTCGGTTCCGACCCATTGTGACCCTATACAGGATTTCCGAGGCTGTAACTCTTTACGGAAGCAGAAAGTCTCATCTTTCTTCCTTGAAGTGGCTGGTAGTTTCAAACTGCTGACCTTAAGGTTTGCAGCCTGATTCATAACCACTATGCTACAAGAGTTCTGTCAATAATAGCAGCAGATCAATAAGACAGAAACAAGTTTAATAAAATAGAAAACAAATGTTTACTCCTTAGACTGCAAATGGGAGACTTCGGAGGGACTGGAAGTCTCATACATTGCTGGTGTGATTGTAAAATGGTGCAACCATGTGGGCAACAACATGACACTTCCTTAACAAATTGGAAAGAGAAGTACTGTTTGATCCCACAATGTCACTGCTAAATAGATATCCTAGATAAATAAGAGTCAGAACACGAAGAGATAAATGCACACCCATGTTCACTGCAGCATTATCACAACAGCAAGAATATGGAAACAAACTTAGTGTCCATCAATGGATGAATGGGGAAGCAACCTACAGTATATGCCTGAAGTGGAATACTATGTCATGTAAAAGAATAATGAAGAATTTGTGAAATACCTCATAATATGTATGCATCTGGAGGACATTACTCTGAATGAAGTAAGTCAATCACCAAAGGACAAATATTGTATAAGAGAACTGGTGTGGCACCGTGGGTTAATGTGCTGGACTACAATGTTGAACTACAAGGTCAGTAGTTCAAATGCACAAGCTGTTCCTTGGAAACCTATACAGGGTCACTATGGGCCAGAACTGACTCAACAGCACTTAATAACAACAACAATAACTATTATAAAAAGTCAATGAAAGGTTTATACACAGAAAGAAACTTTCTTTGACAGTTACCAGGGTTGGGAAGGGGACATGAGGGTAAACCAGTAGCAAGATAATATTGTTATTAAGTGTCATCAAGTCAGTTCCAACTCAAAACGATCTTGTTTCCAAGAAGTAGCTGATGTATTTGAACTACTACCTTATAGTTCAAATTAACTTGGCATTCTAGTTCTTATTCTGCAGTGCCTCACTGGCTAATTGCTGTTAAGTGTCGCCGAGTGGGTTCCAACTCAGTGACCCTGTACAGGATTTCTGAGAAGTGGCTTGACTGGTGAAGTTGAAACACTGAGCTTGTGGTTCAAATTGACTTTGCAGTCCAAAGCGTTAACCCACAGCACCACCCAGACGTGTTAATTTGAATGAAAGGAAAGGCAATATGCACCAAAGGGGTGATCAGCACACCCTCACTAAAGGAAGACACAAGAGGTGCATGAGAGTTATGGGTAACAACACGTAATCCTGCAGGATCGGTCATGTCAAACAGACATGCAAGCTGAACAGGCACAGGGAGGCAGCTAGGATGACTACAGCACAATCACACATAGGCTTGGCAGAGAGTGTTTCTGCAAATGTATTTGTATTGCTTAAATATTAGAGCAAATGGGGCAAAGATCTGAAGACTTCTTAGCCATAAACAAACATCTGGGAATGAATCACTGGGCTTGTGGGGTTTAGGACCACAGTCTCAGGGGACAATGAAGTCAATTGGCATAACATGGTTCACAAAGACAATGTTCTACATCCTACTGTGGTGAGTAGTGACTGGGATCTTAAAACTAGTGAGAGGCCATTTAAGAAGTTACTACTAGCCTCTCTCCCTCAGGAGGAAAGAACAGTGAAAACAGTCAAAGATTGAAGGAAACCATTAGCACAAAGGACTAACAGACCATGTGAACCACAACCTCCATTACCTTAAGACCGTAAGAACAAGATGGTGGTTATTTACCATTACCAACTGCTCAGAGCAGGACCACAGATGGTCCTGGATGGAATGGGGTAAAAATGTAGAACAGAATTTAAAATCACAAAAGAACACACTGGCCTGAAAGAGACAGGTGCGACCCCTGACACAATGGTTCTAAGACATCCTTTGAACTTAGAATTGAACCACCCCTAGGGATCACCTTGCAGTCAAATAACAGAGAGGCCTAGAAAGTGAACCATAACATTTGTGATCTCTTCTGAATAATCAGCCATTCGAGACCAGAAAGGTAGCATTTGCCCCAAAACCAAACTCAGAAGGCAGGAAGGGGCAGGACAAAAGGACTAGTGGAGTGGGAAAACCCAGGGAGGAGAGAGAAAGAAGAGTGTGCTAACATGGAGCGAACTGCAAGCAATGTTACAAAACAAAATATGTATAAATCGTTGAATGGAAAACTAATTTGCTCTGTAAACTTTCACCCAAACCAAAAATAAAAAAACCCAAAAAAACCGAAACCTTCAAAAAACCCTATGTCATTACCACCTTTGGATGAAAATTACTAATTTAGAACTGAAAGGGGGGAAATTATTTCTCTTTATAAGTGGGTTGCTTCTAATTTGGACCCTGGTCCAACTGGATTTAAAATTGTCTATTTCACAGGCTTTGTTGCCTAATTTTTTGGCAGTCTGCATTGCGAGACAAAGCAGAGGCTCTGGAGCCAATGACAGTTGGGTTCACGAACCATTGCTGCCACTTGTGTCATCTTGGACAGAAGTCTGAGCCTCAGCTTCCTTTGCAGATAAATGAGAATAATCCCATTTGTGCCATGGACAAGTAGTGAGACATGAAGGAGTTCACATTTGCAAAGAGCCTAGGAGAATGCTGGAGACAAGTTCAGTGCTTGGTAAATATGTTTTTATATCCCCTTTCCCCACTGTGTCTTATTTTACATACAAATGTGCAAAAAAATTACATGGCAAAAAAAAAAAAAAGACGATGGAACAAAAGTCAATGTGCAGTGATCCTGCCTTTAACAGACGCTGATTCATACAGCAGTGGAGTGCTCCTGCTCCTGTTGATCCTGTAATGGGTTTTGTTCAGATCTCTCCCTGGGGTGCTGTGCAGTGTTATGATTCAGGTGCAGCATGCAGCACAGACAGCTCCTGAAGTCCTGGTCAAAAATCACATGGAGGAGAGGGTTGATGCAGCAGTGGGTGGGGGCAATGATTTTTGTTATCTGAACAACTCTCTCCAGGCCATAGAGGCTCTGACAGTCGCTCAGGGAGAAATGTTCTTTGAAAGTAGTCAAGAAAAGTGCAATGTTGTAGGGTGCCCACATCAGAAGGAATACAACCATGATGGCAAAAATAAGCTTGAAGGGATCGTACGTCCTCTTCCTGATGCACAATACTTTTATCATTGGCACGTAGCAAATTATAAAAACAAATAAAGGAAGCAGGAGTCCCAAAATGTTCATCTTTAAGATCAGAAACTTCTTCCAAGATGTCTCATGAGTGGGCAGAAAATGAGGCCTACTAAATGAACATGTGTCTTCCTTTCCTTCCAGCTGAAACACATATTCAGGCAAAGTGGCCAGGATGGCCACTGCCCACATCAAGACATTGAAAAAGATCCCACAGGGCACTTTCCGGACCAAGGAAGTGGTTGGTGCGTAAGAAACCAGGAACCGGCATACTGTCAGAAGCACATTGAAACAAGCCTCGCTGTACAAACCAACGTTGTAGATGCCAATGAAAATTTTACACACGGGATTTCCGAAAACTTCTCCATGTGAGGCAGTGTAAGCCCAGAATGGCAGGATAAGCGAGAACAGTAAGTTGGAAATGGCTAAGTTTAGGAAATAGATGTTCTCCACGTATCTGAGTCCTTTATATTTTACCAAGATCAGCACAACCAGGAAATTGTCCAGAAGACAGACCACAAATACGGTGAAATACAGCTTCGGAACCAGCTGAGCCGAGAGAAACGTGGCGTCATATTTGTCACAGTGTTCTCTGTCGTTGTTTGGCAGATCACCCTCGATGAGTACATCGTAATCATCATAGGGAACCGATGTGTAGTTATCCATCCTCAGAAATGAGAAGTTATTTTCCCCTTTAGACTCCAGCTGCCACGTCCTGGAGAAAAACAAATAGTCAGAAAACAGGACAAGTACCCCTGTGGTGGTGTTAGGTGCCATCAAGCTGATTTCAACTCAAATTGACCCATGTGACAGAGTATAACTTCCTCGGAGGGCGTTCCAGGCTGTTATCTGTATGAGACCTGAGGAATCGCTGAGCTGTTAGTACCTTACAGCCATCTTTCCTCTTTCTTCCTGCTTAATTTGAGTCAAAGGATCCCTGGGAGGGTAGCAGAGTACGAACTGGGCTGCTAACCTCAAGGTCAGTGGTTTGAATCTATCAGTCAATTCGAGGGAGAAAGATGAGGCTTTCTGCTCCCTTAAAGATTTATAGCCTCAGAAACCCTATCAAGGGCCACTGTGAGTTGGAACCCACTCCATGGCGCACAACCACCACCACCAATTTTAGTATGTGTTAATTTACAACTCAGAAGATTAAAAATAAACATTTCTTTAACCAATGAGCAGCAAATGTAACTGCCGTAGTCACCAAACACTTTATATGCTTAGTCATATGCTATGTACTAATGAGAAAATAAAAGTAAACATTATAACATTTGCATAGAATTTAAAGGCTTTTGGTAGAAACATGATTTGCCCACTTGAAGACAACCTGTAATAAAAGACACAGTGAAAGAGAATTAAGTACTATGGTATAATTTTAAGAAATTGGTGTGGGTCATAATTTTATACATGTTTAAAATGTTTGCTTACCCACCGAAGCAACTTTAGTTGACAGACTGAGTTGTCTTTGTTTCCAAGGTTATAAATAAATGTTTGCAAAAGTGAAACCTTGTTAGGTATCAGCATGAATTTAGAGGGTTAAGCACACAGATGACTTACCATTTGACTCAGCTTATCGGGGGACGGGCACGTCTCCTGACCTACAGCCATGGACTGTGGGAAAGAATGATCTTGGATCGTTGAAAAGCCCGGTTTTTCTTCTGTATGGACGAGCCTGGCCCTGACCTTCAAGGGCAAGAAAAAACACTGCTCGGTTCATTTTCCAGTAGCATTACTCCACTGGCCAGCAGTTCTCAGAGTCTAACCACAATAGGAGTCTTGAAAGCTTCACCATACTTCCAGTATTTATTTTTTAAGCTGCCTAAAGAAAACGGAAGTTTCTTTCTCCTCCCCTAACCCCCCCCACGCACCCCACCTTTGATTTCCTTGTAGCCTTTAGACAGCTGTCCTCCTGGCTACCCCAGATAAGGGAGCTGACTGGCTACTACACCCAGTAACATTAAAAAAAAACCACAAAAACACAAAAACAAAAAAACACAGCTGCCTGGAGTTGACTTTGACACATGGTGACCCCCTGTGTGTCAGAATAGAACTGTGCTCCACACGGTTCTCAATAGTGAATTTTTCAGAAGTAGATTGGCAGGGCTTTCTTCCAATGCGCCTCGGAGTGGACTCTAATATCCAACCTTTCAGTAGGCAGCAAAGAGGGCTAGCCATGTGCACCACCTAGGGACTTCCTGAGTGACCTGAAGGAAGGGATATTAAGGTGCTGAGATAGGTGGAGACCCCTGTGGCTTGTGACATGTATTACTCTTAACAGGTATCAGTTTGCAGAGGAGAAATATGTTACATGATAACTACATATCAAAAAGACCTGGTCTTTAGGTAATGGGAGCAGAGAGGAGTGGGGAGTTATTGCTGACCGGGCCTCTCAGTTTTCTGTCTGGGGTAATGAAAAACTTCTGGAAATAGTGGTGATGGTTGTTTAACATGGTGAAAGCCATCATGTCATTGAATTGCTTAAAATGGCAAAATTTTTGTTATATATATTTTCCCACAATAAGATTATTTTAAAATGCTCTGGTCTTCAAATGCTCTACTCTTCATGAAATGTGAGCAGTTTCATCAGCACTATCAGAAACGCACTCCCTGAATTAACACAAGGCTCAGGAACCTGCAGTGAGAATCACAGTAAGTGATGTGTGTCTGGGCTTTTATTGTTACTTTTGAGAGACTGTGCTTTGAATGAGGGAGAGGGTTCCGAGGGAGGGTTTAAAGTAATGGAAACCACAGAGTCAGTGATGTCAGTTGTGGGCAGTGCAGGCGGAGGTGGGACCTGATTACCAGGAACATGGAGCTATAATGGGTGTTAGAGTTGAAGGAAGAACGTTTTTCAAGAAGCAGAAGTTCTCAGTGTCAGGCCCTTTGAGCATAGTGACTGTGCTCTAAGGGAAACCCAGAGTTAGGACAGTTCAGTAATGCGAGTACTGAGGCTTGGGGGAATATGAGGAGCCCAAACTTAACTCCACACTGAGGCTGGAGATGGGGGTAGATGTGAAGCCAATGGAAAAGCAAACTGAGAGAACAACTCATATTCGAAGTGGTGGGAAGGGAGAGGGCAGTTTGGAAGAATGTGGAACCTCAGTTTTCTAGAGGACCCAGAAAAAACTCAGGGATTTATTTAAACTGCCCTCAGATCAGCCCTTTGCACTTGTAGATGATCTAATTTGGAGACCAGTCTTACATATTGGCTAAGCATTTAATTTATATCTCTAGTTAAAGTAACTTTTTAAATGATAAAATGTGTTTGAGATCACATTTGATAAAGACTGTGTGTCTGTTAAAATAGAAGCATAAAATAAGAAAACTATTAAGAGAAAGAAAAATAAATAAATATAACAGGACTCAGAAGAACGTGACTCCAGAGTAAATTTAAATTCAAGCATTTTGGCCACCAAGCAGAAAGGGAACTCCAGTGAGGCTCCACTGGATAGAGGGCTGGATGAGGGTGGGTGCCTGGGAGTGACTGACGGTCACTGTATCCTGGGAAACTTTGGCCATTGGCGGCAGTGGTAGTTCTGGGACCAGCCATTGTTGCTGCTGTTGGGTGCCATTGAGTCGGTACTGACTCATATCGATGGCACTTAACAACAACACAACAACAACTGTTCTTTATGACCTAACTCAGGATTTAAATTGCTGCCTGATTCCCTTTTAGGCTGTCTCTCTCCCCCACAACTCTTTCAGGTGTTTCTCCAAGTGACAAACAGCCCAGGGCCAGCTGGAGACGTTTTAAGCGGTTGCTGTTGCCTCCTCCCCCTATTTAGATTCTGCATGCTTGGGGCTTTGTGGAGCCGATTTGTGAGCGTTCATAGTAGAACTCTCCGGGGATGTGGGGGTTTCCAGTAACTCTGGCACCCCCATCTAGTCACCAGAGTGGAGGTGAGCACACAGCAAGAGACCAATGAACAAAAGAAAAATCAATGTTCACACGTTTATCTCCGAGGATCTGTCAGACCTCTGCAGTGGCCGCACCCCTCTGATCCTGCCCCAGCACCACCACCGGCTCTGTGACACCCAAGGTGGCCACTCTCGGAACGCTGGCAGCCGCAGCTCAGAAAAACCACCTTTCTTGCTTCTGCTCCAAATTCTACCAACAGTAAGTTTCCAGTCTATCTAAATTTTCCTTTATATGATGTTCAGAGTTCTGGGACAGTACTGTTTTGTATATTCGTGATGACCTTAACTTCCTGATGTTAATACGTCTATCACTCTAAGTGTTATTTTGCTTGGAGTTGATTCCCAGCATTTTGCCTCCCATCCTCAGACCCTGAAATTCCTGAAACTTCTAGAATTAACAAGAAGGAGCAATTGAAGTTGAGGTCAAAGGAAGGAATCGATGCACTATTCCAGTATCTGAAGTTTAATGGGGTCATCCTTGTTGGTGAAACTATACTACACTATGGGATTTGAGACTCCAGTGGTCCATCTGTATCAGCCTCTGCTCTGCCTCATCATTGCCATCCACTGTCAAAAGAACAAATTTGTCTTGAAAGAAGTACAGCCAGAATGCTCCTTAGAAGTGGGAATAGTGAGACTTTATCTCTCATTCTTTTGACCTGTTGTCAGGAGGGATCAGTTCCTGGAGAAGGACATTGTGCTTGGTTCAGAGGAGGACCAGCAAAAAAGAGAAAGACTTCCAACGAGATGGACGGACACAGTGGCAGCAACAATGGGCTCAAATATAACAACTATGAGGATGGCACAGGATAGGACAGTGTTTCATTCTGTTGTATCATTGTGAGTTGGAACCGTCTTGATGGCACCTAACTAAAACAGTCTTAACTAGCTTCCAGTGCTAACCAGAAATGCTTCTAGTTTCCCTTTTAACTTGTATGAGCTTTCTCAAAATGGTTGTCTGGTTTCCACCAACTGTTCCAAAGAATTTAAAACTGTTTCTTGGTCTCTGCAAACTCTCACATCTACCACCCTTAGGAGAAGACCTCACACACTTTTTTAGGAGCACAGATACCATTAGATGGGAGCTCTCTCAACCACCTGGTCTCCACTTTCAGATGTGACTGTTGCCATCTCCATTCTTTTCCCTTCCCATGGACAGAGTTGCTCCTCTTATAACAATTCTCATTTATCTTTCTGAACCCTGGATCTCTTTCTGTCTAAATTTCCTCATAGAACTGTCTCTACCAGTTGTTTTCAGAATCTTCTTTATCTCACAGTTAACAGACCAAACCATTGGTAGGAGTAAGACCCTGAGAGATTTGATTAAGTATCAATTTGATTTAAAGTATTTTTAAAAAAAGAATCAAAGTCCACTCTCTACTCTTCTCCACCTGTTTTATGTCCAAGGAGGGCTACTTTGTCAATTGCAGGAGCCCCTGCCTTCCAACCATCAGTTGGGTCTGGCCAATAGGGAGTTTTAGGCTGGAGAGATTAGAAAGTTAGGTCAGTGCATTTACCCTTGGGTCCCTCCTGGTGGTCTAATTGCGCTGATGGACCCATTAACTTAAGGGCAGCACCTGTCAGGCAGCCTCTTTCTCTGAGATCCTGTGCTTGCTTCCTCCCCTTGACTCTTCAGGCCTCACAGCAGGAATGGCATTCTTCTTTCACTTGCACCACGTACCACACCAGATATTTGATTTTCCTATATTTTGTCAAACTCTTTATAAAGAATCTCCATGTTAAAC